CATCGTTATACCCTTGCAGCTTTGTTTCCGTTCATTATATTTCAACATATACGTAGCTATAGACTATGTTATTATTTGTAGCTTGAACGGTAATAGTGTACTATTATACGTTAATGTATTTGCTTTGAATAGTGATTTTTGTCATTATTAATGAATTATTTTATTACTATTCTTTTTGCTCGAAGAATTAAATATATTGTATGGAATATAAATAAATGATGAGCTGAAAATTACTACACTGTTATTTGATGTCAGAACTGAAACTTTACAATTCTTTCACTTCACTGAATATTAGTAAGACGCATAAGACGCATTGCATTTTTGTAAACTATTTAAAATATTTTTGAAATTACATTTTAAATATAAAACAAAAATAATGTATACCTTACATGCGCCTTATTTGGTATCAATTGTCAAAATTATCACAATTGTAATGCATATGATTTGCGCTCCGACCGAAGGCGTTCAGTTTGTTGAATATTCAACTAGATTTAATGAAAATCTGAAATCTTATGAGCTATTGTCCGTAATTACAAAAAGCAGAATAAGCTGTGGAAGTATTTGTGAGGAAACGGTGAGGTTTTCGATTTTATTTTCTTTATACGTTTGCCAGTTTGATATACATATAAAGCATTCAGTTTGTTGCAAGTTCGAACAAAACTTCTTCGTGACAATTGACCTTTTAGCCATTCGTCTTCCATCGCTGACTCAGATATCCTTGGGGATTAGTAGCTGGCTACTTGCAGAATGAACTGGTAATTACCGCTTATTTATCCAGGAAAGCCGGTAAGGAATATGACCAAAATGTGTAAGAAATAGTGTAAACACAAATAAGTTTAGCATTATTTACACATTTGGACTCAAATTATAACAAGCTTCATTTTTGTCATTATCAATGGTTATATGAAGTTATTAATACCAATTATAAGGTTTCATTTCAAATGCTTAATCATATTTTATGTTACTGAAATGGAATTGTTGTAAAGAAAGTAAAAATCGTTTCAAAAAATTAGTTAACTCTATATATAATTCTTTATGACAGAATTGTTCATCTTTTACGTTCCAAGCCGTCAACAAAACTTGCACGTTATATAGTGTATTTATGGCGTCAGCTGATAACGCAATTCAGGGCAGATATTACGTCAGATCAACGGCGGAAGAACATATCATAACAGGTACTTAATTATAATAATTTAGGATTATTTAAATCACAATATGCACGTGACATATAATTTTCTAGTTTCAATGATTTAGTAATTTAATGAGTGGCCTGAAGATATAGTATACTCAAATGTGATATATTAATACTGTTATTTGTTACACAGTCTATTTTATATTTGAAAAAATGTATAAAAAATCGCTCAAGATCAAGATTTGTTACCATTTTAGCTCAACTCACTGTATGTAAACTCAGCATAAATACAAAGTATAGTTTATAAAGAAAGAACCATATAAACTTGTAAAATAAAATTTATAAAATTTCCTACCGAATTTAAAAAAGTGTGTATTCACATCGATTTCATAAAACTGTAGTAATATCTTAATGTTATTTAATACAATTAATGCTATTGAATACACATGGAATGCAAAAATAAATAAATAAGATTTCAACTATTTTTCTAAAGTTCTACTTACTGGAAAGCTACAATCATTTATTCTTTCAATTTACGTATCTTGGTACAATGTTTCTATCAGGGTTCCAACAAATATCCCACTATTGACTGATGTGTGTACACTTAAAATGAGAGAAAGAAATTGGTGTTTTCATGATAAATCTGTGAAAGTCAAGCGCTCGAAATGACTAAGGAGTAAGGATCTTGCTCTAGATTTTAAGTCACACCACAAAAGTTATTTTTAATATGATGGGAATGGAAATTATTTTTCGAAATTCTAAACCACAATGGGTCTATAACAATAAGTTATTTGCAAAACATTTATCATCTGTTTATAACGTTTCTTTTTCTTTCTTTTTTATTTTTAAACAGCAACAAAAAAACCAAATCATTTCATGGTACAAGTGAGCTTAAAAAAAAAGATATTTAGCGTAGCCTTTTAGTTAAAAATGGTGATGTTGAACGTGTAACATTTTAGATTTTTATGTTTGTAGGCTTTTGGACGTCAGCGAAGATCCTTTTATATACATATAGACGAGAATTAATTTAGCTCCATTTGTACTCAATTAAGCTACTTGGGTTCCCTGCCTACATTTACCTTACGTGGTGTAAGGAGAAATAGATTCAGACTATCAATTAAGCCAGCTTCAAGATTTATTTTGTTTGTCTTTTTACGCCAAACTGCTCATGTTTTATTTGATTTAACACCGATTTACAAATAGAAATCAATGAAACATGTTTGGCGAATAACGTTCGAGTAAACATTTGAATGCATTACTCATTCAATATCTTTTTCCAATTGTCATGTAATTTATAATTAATATTGATTAATTTGTTTGATCAAGTGTCCAAAATTTGTTAAAAAGTGGGGACTGTTGAGAAGTACTGGCAGTACTTATTCAGTAGTCAATATTGGGGAGAATGTGTCATTATTTTTATAAGATAAGTTGTTTATAGCATTACTCAGTTTAATCTTTCTATCTGAAGGCAATATAAGCATTCCCATTGTATTGAAAAACGCTGTTACATTTATGTGTACTCATTATTCATATTTCCTATAGTATGTACCCTTTATTTTTATCATCAGGTATATTTAATTTTGTGTTGTAAATTTAGACAGTTTTGCGAAATATTAAATTTTTATAATCACTGTTTTGAGTTCGGATGCGAGTAATAATATGACTCTCGTGATACAATGCCTCGTACATCTGAACTTCAAACACTGATTTTATTAAGCGATAAAATCACTGCTTTGGATAAATATTTTTATTCTTACACGATATCGAAAAATAAATGCTGCTGCACCCGATATCAAGCTAAATTGTGCTTGATTTGTTCCCGTACTTATTGAAAGAAGACTTGATGCGTGGTCTCACGCATGTTTGTGAACATAAATTTTAACAAAACAGGATACATGACTTGATCACGACTAAACGTTATTTATAAGATGTAATTTATGAATGCTTTTTCAAAATTAAACTAATAACTTCACAGTGCTAGGTTAGAATAAAGTTTGCAAAAGCTATTTTTATCAATATGAATTTCAGAAGTTACAGAGACTTGCAGCAGTGGCAATGAATTACCAACTTCAAGTCCAAATGTTGCTCTAAATAAACCGGTGTCGTTAAGCTCTTATTATGCAACCTCCTCGCCTGGTAGTTTAATGGTAAGTTGTCAGTGAATTTACACCATAACAATATTAAACGACACATTATATTTTCTCGAAAGCACCATATAAATATTTGAGGGAGGTCACTGGAACAAATATTTGACAACACCAGTACCAATATTAAAGAACACAGTTTAAATTTATTTTGAAAATAAACATTGTTTGAACAGAAAGTAACAATAAAAGGTATTTCTGAAAAACACAAAAACAAATATTCAAAAATACAAACAAAAATACGAATGTTTAAAATCAACGTAAACACAAAAAAAAAAACGACAGGTTTAGGTGTACATTTTTACCAGTTCATATATATATATATATATATATATATATTTATATATATATTATTTATAATTATATTCTATTTTATTCTGAAGAAGTTTCAAATGTAAGAAAAATGTATTATGTTATCAGACGGACGGAAGTCGTGTACCTTCATGGCCTTGCGCTTGCACAACGTACGAGAAATATCCTGAAGCAGTTGTTGATCTCGGGCTGCCGTTTGCCATCACTGCAATGTACATAGTAAACAGGGGAGACTGTTGCCGTGAGTGTATTATTGCACCTTTTGTAAAATAACTGTCATTTTAGTGTTCTTAAAGGTTATATAAATTATGACTGTTTAAAAAGAAGAAAAGTTTGCCATAATAATTATCAAAGCAGCCAAGAACACCGCCAGAGGACACTTTTCAAGGTTTAGGTTTAGTCATTGTTCTTTTTTGTCATTGCTGCCCAGTAATGATATAAAATGCAATGTTACAGTTTTGTGGTTAATTACTTAATTAATGCGTTTTTTTCCAAGTTACTGTATGTCAATTTTGTTTTCCAATTGGTTGGTAAATCAACGCACACGAGGGAAAAGGCACAATGTTTCATCAAATAAGAAACAGAACATTTATAGTAACTTCTGCAATTATTTTAGTATTCTTATAGAACCATTTGATATTTATAAATATATATATTTGAAGCAAAAGGTTGTAGATGATATGCCTGTCTTCAATTATTCACTTGGAACTGGTAATGGGAGTTACATGTTTATGCATTACAATTCAACAGTGGAATTTATTTTTTATTTGTGTAGCAAACATGATGATATCATAATTTAAGAAATCATTTTTGAAAGTGCACGCTGCATGCATTTGCAGTGAGATCCTGTGTGGCTGGATTTTTCCTGGAACTGTGTTCTGTGAATGTCATCATCTTTTGTCGGACATAATTCAGAGTGAAATATGTAAAGATGCACAATTATTAAACAAAATGTCATTTGATGTAATTTTAAAAACCTCTTCAAATACATAATCAAATGTTACATGAAAGAAGAGATTTTCATTTTTTTTCTTCTCAGGAATTATGCCGAAATATGACATGATACAGCCATAAACTGAGCTGCTACAAGATCACTCTTAAATGAACATTTGCATTTAGTGTTCTTATCTTTGATTGATCTTATATTATAACCCAAAATATTAATGTTTATGTTTTTCAGCTGAGAGATTACATGATCTCGTTATCCAGGTAGGGGACGACATGTCAAATCTGAAAACAATTTTTAACAATACTGGCGCAATTGGTGCAACCTGCACAGTCTTATTTGATAAACAGCAACAAGGACGCTACGTCAAGTTGTACATTGAAGGAACATCATTTCTGACTGTGTGTGAACTAGAAGTCTACAGTAGCGGATAAATGCTCATCAAGCAATCTGACCTATGTGTTGGTTACTAGCATTTTCAAACAGACATGTAGCATTTAATTTTTATTCGCGGTTTCAAAGATTAAGCAAACGCACTGCATAGATGGAAACATACGATGGATACATGAAAAGTGTTCCAATTCTCTTTAATATCTATTGTACTCAATTCCAATGTTTTACACTTCTTAGCAATGAGAGTTGCTATAAGTTTTAGTACTCAAAATATGTTAAACATTTCATCAAATCTTACGCATTAGTTCATTTGAAACAACACTGATAACGGATTTCGTATCAACTGTAGGCCTGACATGGAACTTTTAGAATCTGCAGCAGTGAAGCTCTTTGTTCTTTGTACGTGTTGGCATACAAATGGTGAAATATATATGAACCGTCTTGTGATGTATAGAAGATGAGCGGGAACCTATTTGAGTTTAGACATCATTGTGATCATTGTGTCCTGATAAGCATAATTTACTTTTAAATCGATTGCATTGGCAATAAATCAACCGCTTTGTTATACAATAACAAGTTTTACAAAAATCAATTCTAAAAAAATATTTTCAGTGTAGATAACAGTTGTCCATTGAAATCATCTGAGCAAATTGTAAACACCAGAACAATGTAGAATAAATATCGTTATTTCAAAAAGCTAAATATTTAATTGATTAAATAATTTCAAGTCAATAGTGGCGGACTTTATTGACTGTAACATTATCTTTTTTGTCACTGTTGAGCTGAATCTGAATAAGTAACATATTTTAGGAAATTTACTATTATTATGGTGATTAATAATTGATTATAAAAAAATGTTGACAATAAAGAGTAAATCTCTTTAATTACAAGAGAGACTGCCCCACACTACGATACTGATTCGTTTCGAATTATATTTTTAGAAATATCCACGGGTAACGTGGATAATTGTTTTTTTGCACAGTAAATTATAATATTGAACGCAATAATGGCAAAAACTAAAATGGACCTACCTGTGCACCCACCATTTACACTTTGATGGGCATAATTTTGGTTAAATACGAAGTGTGTTTGTGCATCTATAAATAACAATTGCAAACAAATGAAGGGAAAAAATAGCCAATATAAAAGCTGAGCCTTTTACGTTTTCCTGCAAATATCAAATTGTAAAAGTGTGATAAATTGCCTGATAAACTTCGTACATTTTCTTTGTTTTTATAAATAAACGGTCTTCAGCTAATTCATCACTGCATCATTACGTTCCGATAATTGTCTGACCGAATGCCTCTTCACGTTGTCTTTATTAATTATAAATTGCATACAGTTTATTTGATATTCTCGAGTCGTCTTCGTCAAATCAAAGTAGGTATTTGTATATAGGATATCGACCGAGTACAAAGTCTTTCTGTTCAGGAGAGACCCTGTGACGAATTTTATGAGACACCGAGCTCACGTAGCGCTAGATGTGTTTCATGAAATTAAACAAAATGAATAAGTGCATACAATTGCTGTGACATTCATCTTTAACCACCGACATTATGAATTTTCCCAATGAAAATGTTTTCATTTTAGGATCATTCGTGAAGATGACGATCTGACTACTGTTTTGAAGGCCACTTTTGTGTTTTGACAATATTGCTAAGTACAATTACGCATTTAAAACATTTGACTTTTCACATCCGGTATACGTTTGACATTTGCAAAACCATTAGTATAACATTATTCTTGAAGGAAGCAGATAAAATATGCTTCAGCTGCTTTTCATCAGGTAGCTAGCGTTGCTTCGACGCATTATAAACGAAATAGCATAAGTCCATAGCATAAATATAACCTTCTTAACGCTTACAGTAAACTGCATAACTATACCACTTTCGTCGTTTTAGACGTAAATTGGTTTGATACCCTATTGTTTACACCGTTTGCACCAATAAAAGTGTCATCAATTAGGCGTACCCAAGTTTACACTGAAGCCGACTATATTATTAGAAATACATAGTCTAAGAAGTTTAAAAAAAATTATATAGTTTTATTGATAATGCGTTGTTAGTTAAATAATTCAAGATGTTTCCAAAGTTTGATTAAAGCAACATTCGGCTCTTTTTTTATCGCTGTTAAGATTGGTTGAATAAGTAATATATCTCAAGAATTTGACTATTTTATAAGTAATTGACTAATAAATGGAACTCATAAAAGCTTAGGGTAAAATATAAAAACTATCTTAATAAATTATAAAAAAAAATCAACGTTATCGATTGATTTGTAACAATAGTAAAAGAAAAAGAAAATTCCATAGGCTATTTGGATTGTTGGTTATTTTAGCATTATGATAGTGAAATATAAAATTGAACAAAATAACGCTATTGTAATAGTTGTGATGATGATAATTATTACTTTGTTCCTGAATCTTTTATTTTTTCTTAAAATCACTGTTTTTTGTTAGTATAATTATTTAAACTGGTGGCATGCAGCCTTCAGGTAGAATAATGTTTTCGATTACTGCATGCACAAAATCGAAGAAAATCCTACTTAGAATAGTAATTGGATATTTTCAGGTGTGCGTTAAATTTAAAAGCTCATGATTGGGGAACACCAAGACAAATAGATGATTGAAAAATAAATACTTAGAAATACATAGAATGTAATTAAAATTTAATTAAACTTTGCATAAACTCAAAATATGATAACAGAAACATATTCAGCGGAAACAAAGTTATATTAAATAGTGTAAAAAATCACAGTGGGAACATTTTGAAAAAAAAACAACAACACTTGTTCTCCATGTTCTCGTTTTAATACCTAAGCTTTGCATTGTAACCTTCTAATTCCTTTTACAATCATTTAAATGTAAATAGTCAATATTTTGTGCGCTTCATTGTTTTTTTAATCTTTCACGACTTCAAAAAATTAAAACATAAGCTTATTTACCCTTTCTTGTTGACAGAGTGTTGGATTAGAACACTTGTCGATTTTGGATCATTCGTCAGTTGCATGATGTGCTACCATTGCATAATTAATGGAAAAATCTTTTATGATCCTTTTTCGGATGCAAGTGTAATGGGTACAACACGACGAACAATAAAACATTCATAATCATAAATCCCTCTTTTCTGATTAATTATGCATTGCTTTTAGCTACATAATGCCGTACAATATATGAGTGGCAATGTACTTTTTAAATCATGTTTTATGTGTTCTATGTATATTGTTGTATGTATGTACATTGATGAGACTAAAATAAAGATTGAATATATATACAATTTATTCTCTATCTCTAGTTTTCACACTCTCGTATTGTTTGTGAAACCAAGGCTGATTAACAAAGTTTTTACACTTTTCTATATTTTTCTTTTGCATTATAGATGTCTGTATTGAATAAAAAATAAAAAAACGCCTGTAGACTTTTATTATCCATTTTCCTTTTATTTCTATTTGCACTGTTTTGTGATTCTTTTAATGATACTGTCAATATTGCATATGGTTGCAAATTTCATAAAGTAAACATGAACAAAAATATAATAGGGGCACCTCAATCTAAATAGGAGTTGTCTTACATTGAAGAAACATATATTTTGTATGTTTATAATCAAATTTTTTATATGTCTACAAAAATGTTGTTCCCTTAGCTACAATAAGTTATTATGTCATTGTTATGCAAGCATTGCTAACATCTTATATAACAAGATATACGGCAGCTTGTAAATTAATCATTGGCGGAGGCAGATTTTTCAAAAGTATTCTCAAAATGTCGTGTACCTTTCTGAAGGTGAAAAAATATAGCATGATATATTACATGTATTAGAAACAGGGATGATCTGAAATCAAGGAACGGAATATAGCCAGACAATCACGTGGAGTGTGAGATAAGCTCATGTAAGATAAGATTTTCTAGCAATGCTATTCTTGTCGGTCGTATTAAATGCATGCTACAGTCCACTGTTTAAGCAGAATTCATCTTTTAACATGAGAATTGTAAAATTTTGAAGTTATGAATACATACGCAGGTGTGTTTATACAACGGATATCATTATTTTTCAATGAAAACATGAATTAAATGAGATTTCAACAGTCTGACATATGCAAATGTAAAGGTATCCTACATTCTGCAGTAATGTATCAAATGATGTTATGACTGTTTTACTTTACACCTTTGGTGCATCTAGATATAATCTGGAAAATACATGTATAGTAAGAAGTTTAACGTCTAGTAAAATTATGGTTAATGGGTTTCAAAGATTAAGTTCAGTATATGAAACGACATAACAAATATTTTTTCAAAACCCAAAATACAAAAATTATGCATGATTAGTACAAATAGCCTTGAGTACTAGCGTTGCGACATTTAGGTCCTTGATCCGATACTGTTAATGTTAGGTATTGAATACCGCTTAGGTTGCCACTGGGAGGCATATTTAGTTTTGCATTTAAACACATGAAAAGCCTCAATGAAACTGTGTTTGTCCTCTTTCAAAATATGTACAGGGAGAAAATGCCAATAGCGTTTAGCTTGTTTGTGGCCAGAAACATGTAATTGTTGCTCTGTTAAGCATCAAAGTAATCATAAATTTGAATTCAGGGATCTATATTATCGTTTTATTATTCATGGGATAATCAATCAAATCACAATGTTTGTTGTTCCGTTTCAAGAGCAGTTGAAAATAGTTAATAAAACATAAACATTTCAGTAAAATAACTGAACAAAATGTAAAGATGTGTTTTAATACAAATGTATTTTACATGTTTAATTTATTAAGCGTAACAATCAGTCTTTGCTACAGTCCCCGTAGGTTTGATTACAAACAATAAAATCATCCGCAATCATTTGATTTGCAAATTAGCATGCATTAATGATATACCTGAGAACGGCCAAAACGGCAATTGAAAATATTGCAGTTAGACTCGACTTTATTCTTACTTTTTCTATTCCTTCCTACTTTTAAACCTGGGTCAAACTGTTTACTAATTTGAAAATAGACTGTTTATCCATGATCTTGTTTTCAAAATGAATGTAACCAAATATGACAACTGACTTTCATCATATGATCTGTAGTTCATGTATGAAAGCAAATTGTTTCACCTTGTGACGTCCATTTTTGGTTTTGACAAGTCATCCAGTAATTTACTGACGATTAAAGATATGTTTGTTTCCAGCATAGACAGAACTAAAGATACAAACATTACTAGTGTCGTTTTGCTGTTAGCATAATACGGTAATTTCAAACTAAATTGTAAATAAAACATTTCTTTTATCCCTACGTTTTAACATACAAATCGTTAATTTGTCCTACTGTTAACTCAAAAGAGTCCTACATTTCCCTTTGTCGTGAATTTCCTTTTAATTGTATTTTATAATCCAAGACATTGGAAGAAAGAACACATTTCCTTCTTGAATATTAATTTAATTTATAACACAACACGTTTTAATCCAATTAAACTATTTTATTTAATCATCACAAATATAATCCAATTATTTGACTTATTTGACTTAAACAATTTCATTTAATAATCACAAATATAATCCAAGTATTTAATTTAACAACCTTTATTAACAAATCAGTCTAACTTATTTTATTTCACCCACAATTAACTATATTTATGTCCCTATATATATAGCAAAACTTTCCCGCCTTTATAATTAAGCATGGCAAGAAAAGCATGTAAAACATGAAAACATAAATATCTCGTGCACAATAATTCACCGTCGGGGAACTAAAACAATAGGTTGCACGTGAAAAACCTTGAACTGACTGATAAAATACGTGCAAACATGAATACATAAATATATCGTGTACAATAATTCACCGTCGGGGAACTGAAACAATAGGTTTACTAAATGCACGTGAAAAACATTGAAGTAACTGATTAAAATACGTGCAAAATGCTACTATATCTTCACCGTCGGATAACTTAACAATAAAACTTTAAAGACACGGTGATATATGATGTAACTTACAAAGAAAATATTTCTTGATAAAAATAGTAGTATATTAAAATACATGTATATCGCAATATCTGCGACACTCCCGACGAAGAAGATAAACTTAACAAATGTTTATAACAAACATAACTAGATGTATTTAAAACTTTCTGTATTTTTCAATTCTTAGAATTAGTGAAAGTTTAAACTTACATTTAATACATTTTACATATGAAATATATTTATTTTTAACAATTCCATTATTAATACCCACATATATACAAACAAGTTAATATAGTTATATGCAGTTCATTGTTCATATTCTTTTTGAATATCCTTTAAACTTAGTTCATTTTATCCATCGATCACCAGTTACATATTCTTCTTCATGTATTATATCATTCCCTCTGTAAGTATACACTGTTCTCCATGTCAAACAATGGTACAAAGTTATTCGTCTTATGTCGTGTGTAGTTTCAAGCGCACTTTCATCTATATTAGTTTCATTGTCACTTATCAAAATGACGTCATCATTATTACTGTTTACGTCATCATTACTAAAGCTATCATCGCAATCATCACCACTGACTTCTCCATTTAAACTAACATCATTATCAGTATGTTCATCACTATCATTAGTGGATTTAATGTCAAGATTCTCATTTTCACTGTCAGCATTCATATTTGAATTCGCGTCATTCTCGCAATTTGTACTGACGTCATCTTCGTAATCGTCGCAATTCGTATACTCGTCATCCTCGCAATTTATATGCACGTTATCCTCAGATTGGGAATCTGTTGTGTCAACTTTAGCATAAACATCAGCATTTAATTCATTTATATTATTGTCGACGTCATCAATGTCGCTTGTATGTTTAAGTTCATCATTTTCAATAATATTGCCATCATTATAATTCAAATCTAATTCATCATGACTTGTGTCGTTAGCAACAGACTGAATTTTCATTTTATCAATACTGTCGCTATAATCATAAGCCTTTGTACTTTCATTATCATCTGTTGCTGTCAGTTTATTATCATTGACGTCACTTCTTGTTTCATCATAACAATCAATGCTTATATCTGGGTCTTGACCAATGTCGAAACTTTTTTCTGATTCTAATTCTGCACTAGAAATGTCACTATAAATAGCATGACTAAGGTTTTCAGAATTAATTTTGACTTCAACTGTTACTATGTCTTTGTTGTTGTTGTTGTTGCTGCTGTTGTTGTTGCTATCTACTTTGCAGCTATCGTCGAGGAGGTTAATGTCAAAGTCATTGATTTTTTCTTGAAATGTGTTGTTACTCCCTCTATCACTGTAAAGAACATATTGTCTCGCTTGACCCAAGGTAAAATCATGCACGTGAATTAAATGATTTTTTAAGTATCCTTTCCTTATAAAGGTAGATTGACATCCATTTACACCACAACGATATCTTCTTAATGCTGTATGTTTTTCAACCTTGTGCCGTCTAAGACTCCTATATTGTTTATATTCATTTGAGCATTCGTCACACATGTATCGTTTGAAATTTTTCTCATACATATTTGAGGCTTGTTGAAATCGTTTTAATAGTCTATCTCTCAGAACAGTATTTCAAATTATGCTCATGAATGTGTACAGTATAAACAAGCACGAATGTTTTCACAAAATTACGATTTTTCGTTAATTCACGTGCGAAATAAAAGACACTAAATCGTTTGCACCGGTGGTGTATAATGATAACTTGCTGTAGTTTCACGCAATTTTACTGAATTTCGAGAATCTGAAAATAGTAAAGAAAACAACTCACTTATTTCAAATAATTTCGTGATTGATTGTTATAACTATTTTATAACAATATAGGCTTATTGTGAAGCTTTAATTATTTCTTTAATCTTAAGTTTTGCTTTAGTCGCAGCGTTTCTTTCTATTTTTTGTGTAGAATTATACTCTGTATTGTGTTTTATTTCACTCGGTTCAGATATAATTCTATTCTCTGAAGTTTCTAACGGATATAGTAAGTTTAACGGTCTCCCTATAACCCGACCAGACGACAATCTGATTTTTGCGGACCTTATTTCTCCGTCGAAACTAGTTGGCAATTCGACAATTTTCCCAAGTTTCCAACAATTGCGTGGTAAATCTTCTTTTATATGTACTACGTCACCAACAAATGGTGTTGTTGCTGATTGTATTCTACCACATTTTAGTTTTGACTGAGTTCTTTCCCTTAGACTTAAAAGGTAGTCATTACGCCATAATTTCCAAAATGAATCAAGAAGTTTATGACCTTTTCTCCACAATTTTAGAATATCAGCTTCAGAGCTTTTGAAAGGAAAATACTCAGAATCACTTTCGTCATTTTTCTGCAATTCAGGAAGACTTATATTCCATTTCAATGATAAGAAATGTCCAGGTGTAATTGTTATACAAGAGTCTATATCTTCCTCTACATAAACGAGAGGCCGAGAATTAATAACAGACTCTGTTTCTTTTAACAATGTTTGAAGTTTAACACTTGTAAGTAATGTGCGACCAATTGTTTTACGAAGTGTTCGCTTTACAAGTCCTACTAATCTTTCATAATAGCCTCCCATCCAAGGTGATAGTTCGACTATAAATTTCCACTTTATTTTGGCATTTGATGCGTAGTTTTGAACATCTTCAGATATCAAAACATTTTTCAAAACATTCTCTAAAGTTTTGTTTGCCGCTTTGAATTGCAATGCATTATCGCTTATCACCATTTCTGGTGTTCCTCTCTGAGCAATAAATCTTCTAAATGCCAATAGAAATTCTTCAGTTGTCATATCTTCAACCATTTCTAAATGAACGGCTCTTGTCACTAAACAAGTGAATAAACATATCCAAACCTTCTTAGGGTCCTTTTCAGTTTTTATGAACAATGGACCAAGGTAATCAAGACCAGTTCTAAAGAATGGTGTTGATTCCGATACTCTTAATTTTGGTAAAGGTGGCATATCGGGCATTTTATAAGGCCCTCCTTCAACACGTCGACACGTGTAACATTTTTTAAGAACTGACTTAACAGTTGCACGACCTCGAACAAGCCAATAGTTGCAACGTAATTTACTCAATGTTTGAGACACACCGCTATGCAAAATTTCAGCATGTGTCTTCTGTATCAACAATTTCGTAAAAGCTTCATTTTTTGGAACTAATACTGGATATTTTGCTCCAAATGTGAGGTCTGAAAGTTCAATGCGCCCTTTACATCTGATAAGTCCAATTTTATCTATGAATAATCCAAGTTGATGTTGCAAGTTATCCCTTTTATGTGTCTTCAATGCATTAAGGGTTTCGGCAAAATGTTTCTTTTGTATATGTTTTAGCCATAGAGTTTCTGAATTTAGTAATTCGTCACTAGTGAGAAAACCTGATAATATGTTTGATCCTTTTCGAACATTTATGAGAAATCTTGTAACATATGCTGTCACCCTTAGTAGTTTCGTCATGGACGAATAATTATCAATGTTCATACCATAAGGTGCAAGATCCGAATTGACACATACATTCGTGATTGTATCATTTTCGGATGTGTTTACTTTAAAGGGAACAACGGCAACTGATAATTCATCTGAACAATTCTTGTTAATGTCATAAGTTGGCCAATCTGACTTTGGCAAGGATAACCAATTAGGTCCATGCCACCACATATTATTATTCTTTAGATTGGTAGTACTTGAACCTCGTGATGCTATATCAGCTGGGTTCTCGTAAGTTGGAACATATCCAATAGAGACATCTTCATATTTATTGATTTCATGCACTCTATTTTTTATGAAAACTGGTTGATCTTTCTTTGAATTTATCCACTGCAAAACACATTGTGAATCGGTCCACAAGAATCTTTTATTGATGTTCAATCTGAGTTGATCATTCACAAAGCGTAAAGAACGAATTCCAATAACAACAGCCATGATTTCTAATTTTGGTATAGTGAGTGGTTTTACTGGAGCGAGTCTTGCCTTTGAAAAAATAAGCTCGGTTTTGATTTTAGAGTTAGATTCTTGATGAAGATAAATTGAACATGAGTATGCCTTTGCCGAAGCATCACAGAAGCATGCAAGTGTATTTTCAATATGTTCTTCATTTTTGTGATCTAACGTTACACAACGTTGTAACATACAATGACTTATTTCTACCAAGTCATCCCTAATTGATTTCCATTCAGAGCTTTCTTTGTCATCTATTTCGTCATCCCAACGTAATCCTTTACTCCATAATGTCTGGATAAGGATCTTTCCCTGTAGCACAATCGGAGAATATAGACCAAGCGGGTCAAAAACCGATGCAACCAATTTAAGAACATTGCGTTTTGTTTCCTTTCGTTTTGTATTTTCAGTAACAATAATTGGCTTGATTGAGAGAGTGTCTGTTTCAGTATTCCAATTATGTCCAAGCACCTTAATTATACCAGGATAAGCTCTATCTTTTGGTTGTATAAATGTATTAACTGATTCATCATTTGTTATCCATTCTCTCAGATTCATGGATATTTCATCAAAAAGTGACTTTGCATCTTTATAAAGTTGCATAGCTTCTGATTTCGAGTTTGTTCCAGTAACTAAATTGTCGACATAAATGTCGTTTTTCAGTTTTTGTGCTGTTTCACTACCGTTTGATTCAAGATGACTTTCTATTGTAGCACCAAGCAAAAATGGTGATGATATGACTCCAAACGGCACTCTACAGAATCTATATTCTATTATGTTACTTTTTTCAAAAATGGGTTTATTGAAATCCTTAACCCACAAGAAGCGAGTTACATCCCTATCATTAGGCTGAAGGCCTATTTGTAAAAACGCTTTCTCTATGTCAGCGACAATAGCTATCTTATGAAGTCGAAACCTCATAAGCATTCCACAGAGGTTGTGTAACATAACAGGTCCTCTATACAAGTTTTCATTTAAACTTTTGTCACTTTGTTTTGTTTTGGCAGACGCATCATACACAATGCGTAATTTAGTTGTTGATTTAGATGGTGTTACAACTGCATGATGGGGAATATAATGGACGAGACCATTTTCTCTAGTTTTGTTATCTACCTTTTCAATTATTCCTTTTTGTTTTTGGTCTTCGATCACATTATCATACAGTTTCATCATTTCAGGTTTTCGTTGCAATTTGGATAGAACAGATTTAAGTCTACCATATGCTAATTCACGATTGACTGGAAGAATTGGTTCTTCATCTTTCCATGGCCATGCCACTTGATATCGACCATCATTAAAACTTAATGTGTCTTTAAAATGCCTCATGGCATTTTCATCATTAGAAATATCAGGATTGTCAAGGATACCAATCGACTCGATATTCCAGAAATCTTCTAAATTTGGTTTAATGGGTATCGAACTATCAACACTTGTGAAAGTATTTGTATTTGCTGAGATATTTCCTTGAGTAAATATCAACATATTGATTTCTTTACTTTCTTCATCGTGATCATTCTTTGTACGTCCACTTAATATCCAACCACATTTTGAACTTAGTAAATATAATCCAGGTTGAATCTCTAATTTCTGACACAATACTATATCTAAGTAGTAGTCATTTCCTATTAGCATTTCGATTTCACATGATTCATTTTCACTTGCAATTGTGTCAGCTAGATCAACAGTTTTCAGAATATGATGTGCATTTTCTGAAAGCTGACCGATAGGTTTTCTTTGAATTGTGCCACTGATAACAGGCACTATGTTCACAGACATATCAAGCTGTTTATCACTTTTCAACATAAGAGTTATGGACGATAACTTTGTTGTTATATGTTTTGATTTATTAGTACCAAAGGTCATAACATTTATCTCTTCTGTACCTTCTGCTTTCAAATCCAGTCGTTTTGCCAATGCTTCAGATACATATGAACGCTGTGACCCTGAATCAAGAAGTATTCGTATTTCTTGCTTTTTACCATTTTTTGGATTATTTACAGTTGTTGTCACTGTTTGCATAAGTATCATCTTATCAGATGAAACCATTCCAATTTCTGGTAAAATACGTACTTCTTGTGATGTTTCAGTAGCGTTTTTATTATTGCATTGTTCATTGATCACTTCTCTTGATAGATGTGAACTTGTATTTGAAGCTTTGAATTTAGTTGGGCACAAGCTTCTGTGATGACTATTTCTGTCACCACAATGTGCACAAATTTTTCCTCGTTTACATTCGGTTGATTTATGCCCGAATTTAAGGCAATTGAAACAACTATTTTTCAGCATTCTTTTTCTTTCTTCTATAGATCGGTACTTAGGGCATTCATCACTCCAATGCCCCTTTTCGCAATATCTACATAATGTAGAATAATCTTTACGAACAGTATTAGTGTTCACAGAGCCTTTTGTATTTCTATTATCAGCCATGAGAGCTTCACCGGAAGTTATTTTATTGTTTTCGCCATTGAAATCTCTTCTAGGTGTAGGTCCTTTGGGACCGTAACTAGTAGAATGTTCCCTAGGACCAAAACTATTATAAGGTCCTCTCGGGCTAAGACTTGATATCATCCCCTGTGGGTATCTTTGAACGTTATCACGAACATTTCTTTGTAAACTATATGGTTTTAACTTATGTTCTACACTACAACTTTTCTTTTCAGATCTCTCACGGGCCACGATATAATCATTTAATCTATCACGTAATGTTGCTAAAGTCCATTCTTTCTTAGATCCGTTAGACATCTCAAGATGTAACAGCACGTTTTCTGGTAGTTTTGCTCTTATCATAGCAATAAACACATCTTGATTGATATCTTGTCTTAATGCCTCTAAACTACGAAGATGTTTTTCGATTTGATCAACAAAACACCTAAGACTATGCACATTATTGGATGCACTTTGAATATTTATCAATTTGTTATAGTGCAAATCTATAACTTCCTGTGCATTTCCATATCTTTCCCGTAATAATTTGATAGCAACATGGTAATTGTCACCAGAAAGCTCTAAACCTGATATTGCACTTCTAGCTTCTCCATATAGTTTGCTTCGTAGATAATTGAACTTTTGAATATCGTAAATATCTTTGTTACTGTGAACTGTGGTATTAAATGTATCCCAAAATTCACACCACTTCAACTTATCGCCATTGAATGAACACATGTCTAACTTTGGTAATTTAACGTTCATTGTTTTATCAGAATCTTTCTTTTCCTGACGTTCAAAAAAAGCTTGTTGCAACGTCATTTGATTCTCTTGTTGCTTCATTTGTGACACAACAAGATTTTGAAACTCATGTTGCAAATCAATCATTTCTTTATATTCAGAGGAAACATTTGGTTTTTCTTCCTCTTTTCGAAGCCTTTCTTTAATTCTTTTCAGATGCATTTGACAATCAATTGCTTCTGAATATAATGTTTCATTCTCTTCAGCAATCGTTTGTAAAAACTCTGTATTTTCCGGTTCAGACTCGGATATTACAGAAACTAGTTTTTCCGATTGCATTTCAATTTTTGAAACATATACATCTATTTTTTCAATGAAGCTCTCAATTGAATCAAGAGCATCACTACTTTCCATATCATAAACATCGGTATGGACAAATTGTTTACCTTCTAAAATCAAATTAGAAAGTGTATTCCTAAATCTTGTTCGCACACCTTTGATATAAGGCACAGAAGACATTTTATTTTATTGGTTGTTTCCCGGGTTCCGGCGCCACTCAATGTCGTGAATTTCCTTTTAATTGTATTTTATAATCCAAGACATTGGAAGAAAGAACACATTTCCTTCTTGAATATTAATTTAATTTATAACACAACACGTTTTAATCCAATTAAACTATTTTATTTAATCATCACAAATATAATCCAATTATTTGACTTATTTGACTTAAACAATTTCATTTAATAATCACAAATATAATCCAAGTATTTAATTTAACAACCTTTATTAACAAATCAGTCTAACTTATTTTATTTCACCCACAATTAACTATATTTATGTCCCTATATATATAGCAAAACTTTCCCGCCTTTATAATTAAGCATGGCAAGAAAAACATGTAAAACATGAAAACATAAATATCTCGTGCACAATAATTCACCGTCGGAGAACTAAAACAATAGGTTGCACGTGAAAAACCTTGAACTGACTGATAAAACACGTGCAAACATGAATACATAAATATATCGTGCACAATAATTCACCGTCGGGGAACTTAAACAATATGATTACTAAATGCACGTGAAAAACATTGAAGTAACTGATAAAATACGTGAAAAATGCTACTATATCTTCACCGTCGGATAACTTAACAATAAACTTTAAAGACACGGTGATATATCATGTAACTTACAAAGAAAATATTTCTTGATAAAAATAGTAGTATATTAAAATACATGTATATCGCAATATCTGCGACACCCTTCTTTTCCCCAATCTTTTGAGAAATATTTTTAGGAAGACGGTAAAAAGCTTTGATCCAAATCTGTTTGAACGTTGACGAGCTTTATACGTATAAACAATTATATAGTGAACGTTATTCTTTGGTAGATAAGAAGGCTAAAGCAGTGAAAAAGAAATGAAAACAAGACCCACGAGGAAGGGGTGCGTTAAACGCACCCCAACAAAAATTAGGAACACAGGTTATAGGCGATTAATGATAAATAACCTTTTTAACTTCATATATTCTATTATGGAGATGTGCCTTTTGTATCTTTTGTACAAACAAAAAACAGAAACATAGTCTGCATACGTGTTTCTTGAATATACGGACATTTATACAGAACGCCTTGTCATTTCTCAAGCACGCATGCAAGCACAGTAACACACGTACATATCACTTTTTAACAGTAGTTGTCACGCCCGGTTTAGGGTATTCTAAATTAAATTTAGAGTGATGCCTCCGATCAATACTATTCAAAGCCTTGTTAGTGTTTTGTCATGGTCAATTATCTCATTATTCGAATCTTAATCGAAACAAAATATGAAATGATGGAATATTCTCTGTCAAATACAGGTTCAGAAGTGATTTGTGCTGAAGAAGAAAACAAATTTAGATTAAAACAAAATCAACAGAAGGTCAGAGATTATCTCAATATTACTATTTGATATTATAAACCTAAGTTTTAAAACTGATTTTTTAGCTGTAAATTCTATTTATTAATTAAATGGTTATGTTAATTAAAGGCAGAATTGCTATTTCATTAATTTTTAAATAATGTTTAATTCATTACAATCGACAAAGCAGCGTTTCGTGGATGATAGCGACCCAGTAGTGAAGGTGTTGCAGTCATATTGTTTATTCGCTATAGGCAGTGTACATCTGTGTCTGTCTGATAATTTTATTTATTTTATTGTGAAGAGGTTCTCAATTACTTTTTAACTCGGTGTTTTTTCTGTTTTTTCAAGTTTTACTATATGTTACAAAGAAATTTGCATAACTAGATTAGAATAAATATTAATTAATACAATTTTACTTGAAGAAATATCAAACGATGCATTTCTTTTCAAGTGGATCTGTTCTTATGGTATCGGGCTTTTTCATTGCATGCGTTGTCGTTTTGAATAGTATCGCCGACGGAATCAAATTTGTTGAATACAAAACGGGTTTTAATCCAAATTTGAATTTGTATATATTGCAAGCAACAAGCGGTATAAGCAGAATTACATGTGGAGCTTTATGTGACGAAAAGGTAAATACATAAGTTTAAAATATTTCTCTTCAAATATATAGTTGCCAAAAGATTTATACAGTTTTTATCATCACAATCTTTTCCAAATTATCATAATTTTAATGTTTCAGGTCCTTGGTAAAGTGTAATGCAGTGCTTACCGAATATTTATTTAGATATGTATATATTGCATTTTGTTATCATGTTTTCGCGGGTGTTTCGAAGGTTGGTCATCCACGGTTGCCCCTCGCTACGAATGAAGCAGCAAGACACTTTAATATGTAAATGACAGTTTAGAGTAAATTTAAATTTTTGGCACATCATAATTTATATCTTTGAAGATGTATTTTTAAAAGCTATGTTTTTTTTATTTCATTTGCAAAACTGTTACGAAGCAACGAAAAATTACAAAAGATAAGTCAAGAGCTGAATGGAAGCAATGAAACAGTTACCTTGTACATTCTTAAGTCCTTATCTCTGATATTGTCCTTTGCGATATTTGATGTCATGTAGAATTTAAACTTCTAAATGCATTGCTAAATAACATATTTTGTTCTTTTCATTGCCTTCTATAAACCAAATTTGCATTTTTATTTATTTATTTATTTATCTTTTTTATTTATTTTTTTTTCAAAATTGTTCTCGGGAGACTTGTTCCATTTTAAGACTGTCATTAAGCCGTAGTTGTAACCAAAATATAATATAAATGTACACCAGACAGTCCGATTCATATACCGGTATATGTTGCCGCAAAGTGGGGCTGCCATTTTTCTATTTTATTATTTATGTCTTATAATCATCACGGCACTGCAATGGTCAAACGGCCAATATCCAGCCGAAAATAGCATGATTTATTCCTCACGTGCAATTTGATCCCACAGCATTGAAGAGTCAGGTGAGTTAAAGTCGACCACATCTACCACAAATCCTCGAGGACGCTAAAATGAGATTAAAGAATTTAAAAAAAATGTTAGTTAGATAACTATAGCCTGATGAAAATGAAAATAGACATCTTATTAAAAGGTAAAGTCGCTTCAAACTTATGCTATCTAAATTAAGATTCAGTTTGTTTAGCTTGTATCCAAGACTTTGCAAAAAATAAATATCAATACGATGCCAAAATTTGAGTATTATTTCAAAATTTCGGATTTATCTCTAAGGTCATGAGGGCAGAGATTTTCATTTAAAATTTATCAAAATCTATTTTAAACCAGGAATGCAAGTCATTCATTTACGACGAGTCGGCAAATCAATGCACGGTGTACAGCGTATTCATGACTGATGACATTGCTGTGGCGATTGGTAGATACTACATAAGATCAGATGAAGTGAAAGGTTTATTCTTTATTTTACTAAATAACCATTGTTTGATACTGTAAAGAATGAACACATCGGAATAAATGTCGAGAAAACAAAAATTATATATTTTTTATTTAGAGGACATATATTTTTGAAAAGATCACAATTTGCATGATCAATCCCTCGCGAATTGTTTTGATTATAGAGAAAATAAGATATGGCCATACATTCACAAAACAGATTTTTTATTACATACGTTAACTACATAAAAAGTGCAAGCGAATAAAACTGTGAGCTAAGGATTACAAACCCAATCTAGAACCATTTCGTTTGCTTCTGACTTTTTTTCTGAAAACTATATTGGAAGCCTGTAGTCAAGGGGTAACATTCTCGTTTAGGATGAAAGAAGTCTGTGGTTCAAATCCCAGTCAAGGCAACTGATGTTTTTAATGACTTTTGAGCGAGTATAACTTTTTTCTTAAGTAGTTGGCCGCGATATGAAATGACATACATGTAGTATGGCTGTAATAAGAAATGAACAGAAATGATATTATAATGCAAGTTAGAAACTCTGGCCATTCAAACTTCCGTATGTATAAAACTCAAACTGTTATAGCGAAAAGCCTAGACGATGAAATTATTTTAAATTTTTAGAGTTTGTTTATAAATATAAAGATATTTTGTATTTAAGTTTTGACAGATTTCCAACATACGAATACTGGTTTTAGTTAAGATATGTCATTTTTGAGCCTGTGAAAAAAGGAGTTTATTTTATGCGCATGCATTTATCTCAGATGGAAAATGTCAAACACAATAAATACGTGTTATTTACACTCTTCTGTAAATTGAATATTGTAAAAGTTCAAATAGAAAATATAGAAAAAGATATCTTCAATGATTTTTAAAAAAAAAACAAAAAAACATGTTTTATGTGCAATATTATTTCCTTTTAATATGCTATGGTGATTGAAATTTGAGCAAAGATTTAAAGATTGGTTGTGGCATAATAATAAAAAAAATCTGATGGTGAATTTTTTTTATATTTGAAAAATAAATGTTTTATTTTATCTAGCTATAAAAAAGTTATAAAAACCTGTAATTATCCGTGACCGTTAGAGTCTATAATCCTTAAGATTTGGTAATTTACATTGATCGATTAATAGTAAGAATTATTTTGTTGAACAATAAGGACCGTTTTGTTTATTAACTTAAATTTATTTAATGACGGCAAAGTATACATATCTTTAATCCGAATTGAAAACGATGTTAAGAATTCTGACGGCCATGTTGATTTGATTTCGAAAAAAAATCTTTACATATGCGTCTCTTAAACAGCTGATGTTGAAATAGTTACCATGGTTGCCATGCTTTACATATAATTATGAAATCTGTAATAATATTACAGAACCTCTACTGTACTTTGCGAATTCAGATGCAGCGTGAACGCGGTTATAAGGAACACTTCTGCTAGGTCCTTATTGATTTTATTATTAACCCTAAAATGTTATGATGATGTAAAGACTCAATAATATCTATTTCCGGAAATATGCTATTAGTTATAAGCTACTTGTTGTAACAGATATGTTAGCTATAAATTCAAAGAGTATAAATTACTTATTTCTAATATTAGTTATAAGCTTGTTTGTTTTGGCTTTGCCGCGCAGCAATTCTTTATAGGTCATATGGCGCTGGAACAGGAACGATGACTGACTAAACTCTGTTGTTACAAACTTTAAAGAAACTCCAGAGGTCAAAACAAAAACTCACCTACTGGAGCTGAGAGATGAGAGATGCACAGTTATTCGAAACAATTCAATCGCCCCTTACAATATTAATTTCCATAAGAAACTTCGGATATTACGTGCACAATGCCGTGGTAATAAAGTTTTAAAGTATATTAAAAATGCAACGTTGGTGGCCGAATATTTGTTCGATTACACAACATAAATCACAGACACAGTTTAAGTGTATTGTATGTTCTTCTGAGCAAATAGTTATTATTTAAACAAATTAATGATATTCACGCTAGATTATTAGATAAATTCTTGTATGTTTTTATAATATGATAGGTGTTTTGTTACTTGTTTATATATAATATACAATAATCAATTAATATAAGATTCCAATTACAGATACGTGCAGCAACGAACCTTTGTTGAACACAGGTCCAAACATTGCTCTTCACAAACCGGTAACATTGAGCTCTGAATTTGATGGAAGTCAGCCATCTCCTGGGAATTTAATGGTAAGATTAAAATTGTTTTGACATCTTGAATCATCTGTCGTAATGTCGATCATATTTCATAACAATGTAAATGAAATATGTATAATCGATGCTAAGGAGAGATAGCGTTTGAAAAAGGCATTGCTAAGGTGGGTGACACGTCTCATTAAATCAGTGCTAGAAAGGTAACATATTTACAACACCCTCCAGCCAAGTGAACAACCAAAAATTAACACCGATTATGAAATAACTTGATAAAAAAGAAATTAAGGGTAGAATATTACTGGTATCTTATTACCGACCACATAAAATAAATAAAAATAGCATTTTTGGTCCTACACCTAACCCAAACTTCACATAGTTAATCCTTGGTAATTTTAACCTCCCGAAATAAATTTAGAATCTGACCATATAACGTATCTTTAAGCACGTTGAAACAGAGGATCTGTGTATAACAAATTTCTGGACATCATTGATGATCTAAATCTTTTCAAAATTATCAATGAAAGTACGCAAAATGACTATATTTTTATGAACTTCTCATTCAAACCTCATTTTTGTTAACAATGTCAAGGTCATACCTGCAATAACATACCATGACAACATCTACACAGATACAACTTATAGGCCGTCCCTTCTCAAACATAAGCCTCGTATTTACACTTTGATTAAAAAGGTCAATAGACTGAAATGGAAATATTCATTAAATAGTGAAAAACATAATTAAAACCTCAACGTCAGAAATATTTCAAAAAGCTAAAACTTGTAGGACTTTTGATCCAGTTCAAATACACACTTGAGGATGGCATATCAAAATTCATACCAACTTAAAGAATAACGGCTAAACAATTTTTGCTCTGGATAACAAAATCCAGTAAAATGAAAAGCATGACAAATTGGTAGAATTTATAAATTTAAATCTAAAAAAAGCTAGAAAGCCTACTAACTTAGGAAATATTTTAAATGATGAAATTAATACACATAGTCAGGTTTATACCAAAGCACAAGACACTTATAAAAAGTCTAAACAAGATTCATCAAAAAGTGTTTCCTTAAAAATCAAAACATGGTTTTTAAAAGTAGCGCTTAAAGAAGTAACACTAATGGAGCAAACTCTCTTAACAAACAATTTCAGTCAGTTTCCTTACCAAACATACAACTCTTACTAAGAGACATGCATACAAAAAACATACAAAATCTCAATTTTTGTCTAAAAGTACCTGACTACCAGTATTTTCCATCTGGATCAGTACAAATATATTTCCTGTCTATAAAACATTGATACCAGTGATCCAGCAATCTATCGACCAATTTAACTGACACACATCCTCTGGAAAACAGTTGAACACATTGTAGCTTCTTAACTGTCCTCCTATTTAACAACCTAAAGCGTTGTCAATGATCTTCAGTGTGTATTTAGAGCAAGTCAGTCATGCAGGAGCAGGACATAGCTCATTGAACAAAATGATTACCTTGTCAAAAACCTTTCAAATGGCAAACGAACAGATTTTATATTTCTCAACTTTTCTAAAGATTTTGATAAAGTAAGCCATCTCAACTCTTAAATATCCCACAGGAGCATGGACAATGTCCTTAAAATCTAAAATGGACACAGTCTTTTCTTATAAGCCGAAGGCAGAGAGTAATTTGTGAATGTTGTCTGAAGTGCCTGTTACCTCTGGAGTGCCTAAAGGATCGGTCCTAGGACCCCTCTACGTGATTCTCTAACTACCTACCCCGTCTTCAAATCTCATGCTGTATACTTGATCATCATTTTCTCTTAAGACATTAACATACACTCTAACATGATCTAGACCATCTAGTTCAGTATTAGAAGCATCGGGACATGTAATTTAACCCACCAAAGTTTTTCATTTCACCATAAATAATACTATAATTAAATACCAACTATAACTCTATGGCAAAGTCATGAAATCGGCTTTTCATGCTAAATATCTCGGACTAGATCTGCTTGCTTACCTTAAATTTAGCACACATATACTTAAAATAATTCATGCTAACAGATCCCTTGACTTTGCTCTGATTTCAAAATTGTGAAAGTGAAAGAACTAGCATAGAAGTCCCTGGTCCGGATTCGGGTTGAATATGTATCAACTACATTAAAACCAATATTGAGATGGACCAGAGACGTGCAATACGATGGTTAATTGGTAAAAATATATTACTCTTTTTGTAGTGCCACAGCCATACAAGATGAACTGGGCTGACGATCACTTAAACATCGCAGACTGACCGGACTGTAGACTCATCATGTTTTAAAACAATTCCATAATATAGTTGCATTTAGTCTCCCACCATATGTCTAAGCTTCGCATAGGTTAACCAGACATATGTACGTCAACCCTACATCAAATACAGGTTTCTTCTGACTACCATAATTACTCATTCTTCTATCATAGCATTGTACTATGGACAAAATTTTCTAGCTACATTGCCTTCCTGCCCAACTTAAGGCAGATTAAACGGGCATTTGTAGGTTTGGAGAATGAATCTTGCTCCCAGTGATTTTAACTGTTTTATCCGTTTTCCTTCTTTCACTATTAACGTTTTAACCATACTAGAATATTTTTCCAGTCCCACACTCGTGTTGTCTATTTTGTTTTCTTTCACCTAACAATTCGATACGCACTTAATTCCCGCCTATTCTACCCGCAAGAGGGGTTGGCAGTATACAGAGTGAAATAGAGATATTCACACACTTTGGCACGTGATCAATACAAGCGTATATACGAAGTTCAGCTACCGATATTTTTTATATGATAACGGATTAATAGTTAATTTATTTTTTTCTTCAAACAAGTCTAAATAAGTTGTGTGCTGATTTATGAGACTATGACTAGAGAAAGGAATAAAGAGACTAGTGAAAGCGAATCTGATGAGATATTGAATCCCAAAAAGTAAACAAAGAATTTTGGATTCAGTGAAATATTGAATGAGACACGTGCTAGTTTTTACCATCAGCATTGTGCATTGAAGAGAAATGATTAAAAAAGCGCAAATGCAAAAGTATTAAACAACAAGCAGACAAAATGCATGGCTAAAGTAATACACAAGATTTGTTATTATAGGCTGTAACGGATATAAAGAAAAGTTAGGATAGTATGAAGCATATGCTCGCATTGAAAATAGATAAATTCTGGTCTGACGTAATGGAGAACATCAAAAATATAGGTCCTACATGACGAGTTGTCAATAAGTTTAAACATATTTTATTTAGCAAATTTACAAGCATGCATAATTTTACACCACGTATATATATATATATATATATATATATATATATATATATATATATCGATTGGAAAACAAGCACAACAGTTACTAGTATTTTGATTCATTTCAATGATTGAGTTTCGTCTTTATTATTTCACTCTATATGATAAGTGCATGTTTGAAATTTCAATATTAATCTAAATTAACAAAATTTTGATTTGTCAATTGATATCGCCCGAGAGAGTAATCGACTAGAACAAAACACAAAAGCTGTTCAAACTATGCAATCTCGGATCACAATTGAACATAGAGTACCGCTGAAGCCAGTACTACGGAGCTTGAAAGATGATGCACCTTTTACAATCCCTCATGTACAGACTCGATCAAACAGAGTCTGTAATTTTCAAGTACTTTTATTGTGATAAATGCTTCCGAGGGATCACACTTTATCAGATTTTTTATACTTCACAACAGCAGCTGTAAAGTACTGTGTGGCAGCTGTACAAAGTTGCCCCGTACTTCACTTCAATGTTGGTATATTTTTCTGGTCCATCGGGATCATTGATTCCAGCTCTTTTGAGTGTTAGAAATTGAGGACATGTGTGTAAAATAAGGTATAATGAACATTCCTATCATTAAAAACCAGTAAATCGTAATAAATTACGGAAAAGACTGTCGATAATTAATGAGTCTCAGGTCAATATTGCCAAACAATATTCAAACAGTGTTTCACAAACCTTATGTATGCGATAGACATTAAAGAAAGACCATGGCAGAAATATAATAATTTATTTATATTGAACACCTTTCTAGTATAAAGTTCAATAAATATTTATGACAGAACATAATACAAAATTAACGTGACATTTTGATTTCAATTACAAAATCGTATGGTAGTGTTATAATAGTGTCTATTGTTAGTTAGATGGAAGTCGTGGTGGCATATCTCCATGTACTCATACAGAACGCAAAACAAATCCCTACTCCACTAGCTGATCTGTTATATTACTGTAATTTGTTTGGTGGATGAAAGTCGTAGTAGTATATTTCCATGTGCTCACAAAAAACGCGAAACCAATCCCTACGCTGTTAGTTGATCTGTTTTAATATTGTTTATTGTTAGGTGGATGGAAGTCGTAGTGGTATATTTCCATGTGCTCACACAGTGCGTGAAACAGATCCCTACGCCATAGTTGATCTGCTTCAGACGTTTCAGATCAGTTCCATGTATATTGTCAACCGTTCAGACTGCTGTGGTAAGTAGTTGTGGGTATATTAAAATTTTCCTTGCTGTCATCGACACTGATGAGCCTTTGCTACAAGTAAAGAGCCAGGCCAACCATCCATTTAGGCTTGCCAGCCTCTGAACCATTGGTAGCTCAGTTTTTGTATTGTTATTTTAATATTCCTAAAACATTAAAAATTGACTGATTACAATTCTAAGCAGGATTAATCCATAAAACATGTTAATTTAGTAGGTTAAAAGTGTATCATCTTTGCAATGTTATATATATATCTACTGCATGTATCAAGAACACACACGCGCACGCACGCACACACACAAACGTGTATGCTGAAGAAAGTAACAAAATGGATCAAACTTATCATATATAGTTTTGCAGTGTTGCTAAAATATAAACTTTGATGTTTCTAAGACATACAATTTAAAACGGCAACCCGCATTTTATGTTTCGTCAGTCAATGCATTTTATATAATAAAACACATTTTAAACTCTATTTACAGGTGAGCGACTGCGACAACTCGTTATTAAGGTAGGCGACAATTTGACCAGACTTAAACCAGTGTTTAACCATACTGCCGTTATTGGTGCAACCTGCACGATCTTATTTGATGAACAACACCAAGGACGTTACGTCAAGTTGTATATTGAAGGACTTAGTTCTCTGGCGGTGTGTGAACTAGAAGTCTACAGTAGCGGATAAATTATCAACAAGCAATTTGACCTATGTGTTACTTGGATATCTTAACATATATGATATAATTGCTATATTAATAATTGAACTATAAGTCTACATTGGCAGATAAATGCTCAATAAGCAACCTGACCTCTGTGTTACTTAGATATCTTTACATATATGATATAATTGCTTTATTATTTGAACTATAAGTCTACAGTAGCGGATAAATGCTCAATAAGCAACCTGACCTGAGTGTTACTTGGATATCTAAACATATATTATGTACTTGCTATATTATTTGAACTTTAAGTCTACAGTGGCGGATAAATGCTCAACAAGCAATCTGACCTATGTGTTACTTTGATATCTTAAACATATATATGATATACTTGCTAAATTATTTGAACTATAAGTCAACAGTGGCGGATAAATGCTCAACAAGCAATCTGACCTATGTGTTACTTGGATATCTTAAACATATAAATGATATACTTGCTAAATTAATTGAGATTTTCACTGATTCAAATTAGAGTTGTTGTGGCATACTCTGTTGTCTGTTCGACCTAATAGATGCAGAAATTTTATGATTTTCTAGAACAGACCACGTGTACTCCTCTTTAATCAAAGACAAGTTCAAAATCGGGTCGAGCTTTTTCTCATTCAGGCTATATCCCAACGTACTTTTCGCCGGCAAATTGTATACCTGATAACAATAACTCTCAAGAGGCATGTTCTTTTTACCGTTACATTATTAAATAACGTTATTCGCAAGGAAAATGTAATGCATTTTATATATTCTTTCTGCTTACAGCTACGTTATTAAATCACCTTGTTAAATTAAAATAAGTATAGTTAGTTACATGCCTATGCCCCCGAGCATATAATAATTTAACCGTCTGTCCATCAGTCCGCCCGTCCGTCTGTCCGTAAGAGGCTAAGCTGAGCCAAACAATTGGATTTATCTTATATTCTACATATACCACTTGCTTCATTTGCCCTTTCAGCACTTTGAAAATGGATATGATCTTAGACTACCGAAATCGGAAAGTTCGATTGTTTTTTTAGTTCTTTCTTTTCTTATGGCTTCATAATTTCCAGTTTTTCACACATTCTTATCAATTCAAAGTACATTAAATTGCCAAGTTATTTTACTGAGCTAGTTGTTTTCCATTTTCATCGTCTAGAATGGTTAACATATTCCGGCAAATTGAATTTATATCAAATTTCTCTTTATTTCTTCATTTATTTTAATGATGTCTTCAATATTTTGATATTTTGTGGTTGGATATCTGAAACGTTTTGTGGAGTAACGGGTTACAAGGGTCAAGGTAATGGGTGTAATTTTTTACATTTTTCCTACTGCTTTTTATTATAGTTTTTCCTCTGGCGGTCGGGCGTTCGGCCTCCAATTTTGTCCGGATCATATCTCCCACACGCATGGACGTATGTTAATGTAATTTCATAGAAATTGTCATCACTGTAAGAAGTTATGTCGCGCACACAAACCAGGTCTCTAGGTCAAAGATCAAGGTAACACTTAGAAGTCATTGAAATAGGTTTGTCCGGAGCGAAAACTTTACTTGCATAGAGGGATTTTATAGGGGGTCATACATAGGGGTCAAAGTTAAAATATGAAAATGTGTATTGGACCATTTAGTCGTCATTTATTGAGAGATTGAAACAAAAATGGTCATCAACATGACAACGATTGCGAAATATGTAATTTAAGTTAATATATGCAAGTTTAAGATGATAAAATATAGAGATTTTGTCCATTGCATAACTCTTACATGGTGGGATTCTACTGAAACTTCATGGAAATGTTCACCACTATAAGAAATTATGTCGCGCGCATGATTCAGGTCTATAGGTCAAAGATCAAGGCCATACTTGGAAGTCATTGAGAAACGCTTGTCCAGTGCAAAACTTCTACGTCTATAGAGGGATTTCCATATAATTTGCCAAATAAATTTCCATTGTAAGGCAGTGTCGAAAATCAGGTCACTGTATCCAATGTCAAGGTCACACATAGGGGTCAAAGTTCAGATAAAAATATGATATTGTGTATTCGGATCATTAAGTTATCATTTATTAAGGGATTGAAACATATTATCATGACTACGGTTGTGAAATAGGTAATTTAGGTTAATATATGCAAGGTCACTAAAGATGTTAAAATATAGAGATTTTGTCCAGAGCATATCTCCTACATATATAAAATTTCATAGAAATGTTCATCACTATGAGAAGCAGTGTCATGCGCATGAACCAGGTCTCTAGTGCAAAGGTCATGGTAATACTTAGAGGGCAATAAAAACATGTTCGTTCGAAGCCAAAATTCTATATTCATCGGGAGATTTTAATGTAACTTGGCACAAATGTTTACCATTCTGAAGCTAGGAATTGTGCACATAATCCAGGTCCCTGCTATCAAAGTCAAGATCACATAGAAGGGCCAAAGTTAAGATAAAAATAGAAGATGTAGACAGGGACCATTTAGACACCATTTATTTATGGATTGTAACACAAATGATAACTATCATGACTTGAGGTGAGGGTTACAGGGTCAATAAGAAGGGCACTGTACATGTAAATGTATATACTGCTAGGATCCTGTGAACCAAACGCCATTCCTTAATGGAGTACACTTTAAGCACACAATACATACATGCCATGCCCGTAAGAGTACTCAGCATGGGTATTTCTTCTATAAGGCTATATATAAACATATAATTATGTAACAAAGTATGGTATAACATTTTATTATACAAAGTCATAGATGAATTGCTAAATGTTTGTTTGTTTTTTTGGGTTTTACGTCACATCGACACAGTATAGGTCATATCGCGACGTTCCAGCTTTACTGGTGGAGGAAGACCTCAGGTGCCCTTCCGTGCATTATTTCAGGCACGAACGGGTACCTGAGTAGAACCACCGACGTTCCGTAAGCTAGCTGGATAGCTTCCTCACATGAAAGAATCCAAAGTCCCTGTCGGGATTCGAACCCACAGAGGTGAGGGGAATTGCTAAATATTACATTTTAAGTTATTATAATTTTCTAACATTCCTTTCCATTACCAATGATAGATGTATTTATATACATGTATTTCATTTAACTATTCACCATTTACACATTTTTGTCATGGTTTTTGAAACAATTCATATTGATGATTCTGTCTATCTATGTGTTTTTTCTGTTTAGATCTTGCATATATGAAAGATTATGCATTCATGAAACACAACAGATAATTACAATAGAGACATACATGTATCTTTAGGAATACAACTACATGTAGTCACAGACATATTATTTCGAATTAGATATTTTGGAATCCAAGGGAAACAAACACGAGGAAAATGTTTTCAAAGCTTGTTAGAGTAGTGTATCCTATTTTTGTACATCTCACTATTTTAACATATACTTTGTTTATTATATTTAAAAATTTATTGTTAACTAAAGCCAATATTTATTCATATGTTTATAAACAAAACAAATAATTATGAGGTATAATGACTTTGAAAAAATAAGGTTTCTTCTCCTTATTTTTCTAGGATTTTCAATATAAGCAACTAGTATACATGTATTCATATAATAACATATGCTTTCTCTATAATATTTTTACGATTTATGTCAAATAACATCAAATTAAATCGTAAAACAAGCAAATGATGTTTGATTGAGTACATATCAGTTGATACCGTTTTACATATTCATTTTTCTAAGACATTTGTATCATCAGCGCTTTCATAAGCTACATGTATTTGTTGAAATATGTTAAGGCATGTTATTATATGACCTTATTTTGATGTCGTTGTATGTTAACAATTAGTACACATATGCCAGATTGAGTATGATATGCAATTTCGGAAAATATTTTGGACTCTGGAAATGAATCATAAGTCTTAATAACTCAATTACTAAGATTGGGTCTGATTTCTGTTTTCTCCTGGTGCGAATGCTGAAAATATAATAGAATCTAGTTATATTTATAAGGTGTGAAATAAAAATATTTTATATGATTATATATAATTATATATATAGATGTATGACATGTTATATGCCTCGGTAAAGACTGTTTTAAGTTATATAACCCGAAAAGCTAAGCCACATAATATGTTTGACATTACAACGGATTAACTTTTAACGAAAATTTGTCCTCGCTAAAACAAAACTAATTTTGGGGTTTTCTAGGACAGAAAGCAGGCATTTCTTTAAAATAAACATACCAAACTAAACATTTCTTTGAATGCAATGACGGAACTCGGGCATTTCTATGATAGAAAAATAGACATTTCTATGACTTTGGATAGAAATATGATTTCTATTAGAATAATAAGGCATTTTTGGCATAAAACATATACATTTCTATGGTCTTAACCAGACATTTCTGTGATAGAAATAATACATTTCTATGATATAAATCAGATATTTCTATGACAGAAATAAGACATTTCTGTGATATAAATCAGATATTTCTATGACAGAAATAAGACATTTCTGTGATAGAAAAAAGACATTTCTATGATATAAATCAGAAATTTCTATGAAAGAAGTCAGACTTTTCTATGATATAAATCAGAAATTTCTATGAAAGAAGTCAGACTTTTCTATGATATAAATCAGACATTTCTATGATTTAAATCTGACATTTCTATTATCTAAATGTGACATTTCTGCGACATCGATTAGATATTATTATGACCTAAATTAGATATTATTCGTCAGTCAACCCTTAAAACGATTTAAATCTCCGACTTCCTTGAATAAGCACCGAAAAATAACATTCCTTAGTTTTCTTCAAATCTTTCTAATTTTTACATCGCTTTCACTTGTGTTTTAAAGCAGCACGGCTCGAGATTCATGTTAATATTCATATAATTTTTCGAAATGTTTTTAAAAGTAAAATAATGTGAGGTAAACAAATAAAGCAATTTACATATTGCAAATGCACTAAAGTCTTACAATCCACGAAAATTATAAAAAGGTGGTCAACATATGCAAAAACCGCTAACGCAGTAGAAACATAGCGATAAAATAATCCTGCAAACCGTGTTAAACCGCACATAATATGTAAAATATAACTTTGATCTTGAATGTTCTTACCTTTTTTTCATGTTTAGTTCATTTTTCTCATTATTCATTTCCATGAAATATTTTGGATCATCTGGTGGCGTGCTGCTTTAAGGTGTTAAAATGTATATTTATTTATTAGAACTTATTACAAATAAATAACTTGATACCTGCTCACATTCTATATATTTTTTATGGTTATACAGAAAATACATATGGCCGATGTTTTGTTTTTAAGAAAATTGCTTATTTTTTCCGCACCATGAATGCCTGGCACCTACCCATCTCCCCTTTCCACACTCTCTATCAAATATTATACAAAAAAACGAACAAAAAAAGAGTCGGCAACAACATCAGAAAAAAGCTATTTGTGTGATAACTAAAACGATATTTGTGTGACAACTAAAATATATGTGTGTCAACTAATCTTCTACAAAAC